ACTCAATAACGAATCTCGTGTAAACACAATGACAGTTTTTCACTGGCCAAGTCTATGGTCACTGTCCTATTAAGAATAACCGGCCATCTGCAACGTTTGGTCGTCAACACCGTTCATTTCGATGCAAGCCACACCTTCTGTGAGCGGGGCGCCGTTCAGCTTGGGTATGTCTTTTTATGTTCTTGTCTTATGTATGTCTCGAGACATGGCCCACCTATCCCGCACTTGAGGCGTCTTTTAAGACAGACCTCCAGAAGCTAGAGAACTTCGACAGACATACAGAATGGAAGACTGATGACAGAAAAGCTTTGTACCAGTAAATAGGATACATGTTCAACTTTGTGTGAGTGTCAGCCCTCCAACACGTAAAACAATTCATTAAGAAAATAAAAAAATAATTAACCATAAGTTTGGTAATCATAGAGCCAGTGATAATGTTACGGTAACCAACAGAATACAAGAGCCTCGATATAGGGTAGCAAAAAATTATGTGCGCGTGACATTTCGCTTCGTTTCAAACATTGTGTGAGAATTTATGTGTGCTTTTCTTTTCAAACTGTTTGTCTATTGCTAATTATTGGTTTGGAGAAACATTTGTTTTCCAAGTTCTGACAAAGACCTGCTCAAGTTGGAACGCGATTGCTCTTTAGGCAAACAGCTGGACTGAGAGCTAACAGATCTGTCTTCGAGGCTCACAGTTTTTCTGCGCCGCGTCCAGAAAATTGCAAACCCATGGAAGAAGATCATCTCTGATACTGACCTTTTAGAGAATGAATCACCAAAAAGATAATCTGAGCTTGAATAACAGTGCCGAACAGTACGAAGTATCCGATAATCTGTTCAATTGATAGCGTGGAATTGAAGTTATTTAGTCTCCCACCATTCAAAGCAAAATCGGAAGGGAACTCTAGATTTTTCCGAGGTGCTGCGGTACCAGGATGCCCTGTGCTTTCACAAATGAAAGTCTACTATTCGAGTGCCTCATTTCTCAGAATCCCCTTTATCCTTTTATTCCAACTCTCAATAACATAAATAAATGTTAATTTCCCGCAAGAATTTCGTTCCCTAGAAACTTGATAACTTGGGGCTGGATCAGTGCTTCGAGCAAGCCTCGCAGATTTTTATCGATAAAAGCGCGGAATTGAGTGAGAACGTCTATTAAGAGGAAAATTATCAAAAAGGAGTGAACCCTGGAAGTAGAAGGATGAAAACTCTGGAAGTGGAAGGATAAAACTATCTTCTTGCAGGGAAGGGCTTCGGCTCGGACCAATACAGCCATTCCCTTCTTCGTGGCCAGTATCGGTTGTTTTTTTGGCGATGGATTCGTGGTCTGCGGATTCATTAGATTCTCCGTTTGGTGTCTTTTGAGGAGCTATTGAAGAATCTCAAAGCAAAAAGTTTCTTGATTCTGAAAAGATGTCTAACATTTGGAAAAATTATGAAAAAGTACCTGGACCCCTGAGCCCTGTATCAAAACTGATGGCAACTACTTGATATCTTTTTTGCAATTATAAAATGTCCTGGTGTCTCATAAAAATAACTATTAACTTTTTGTGGGTGAAGAAATATAGTTTGGTCCGGTCACAGCGCATGCTATTTTCGCCACCCTGTGGTAGGAGGCTCAAGTATTCGGTCCATTATGAATTCGCTACTGTCAGCGAAAGGCCTGACACTAATAAATGACTCAAATCTTTGTCTTCAAATTCGAGTACAGAACCAAGAGAAGAATCTTCGTCCCAAACAAGACCAACCCACCTAGCCAAAACACTACATCAACAAACAAAACTTGTGACAAAACAACAAAAAAAGTTCTGCGATTCAATGTTGTGATAAAACCGATATATGAAACCTACTGAGTACACATTCGGTCATTTTATGTGGCCTCCAGTGGCAACAGAAAGGCAGAGGAAGGGGTAGAAACACCCGCATGTTAAGCAAACATAAGGCCCATCGCATGCCATTACATTCTTATACATAGTCTAGACACTACAAGTAGAATTGAGCCGCACTAAACAGTCGCACAAAATGCGCAGGATAAGGCAGGAGGAAGGAGAAACGAGGAACAAAATTGGTGAACTTACCACGAGCGGCTTTAATACTCACTGAATGCCATCTCTAATTGCTGTCTTACCGAATGGCGCTTAGGAGATGATTGTTTTAAATTGACACATAGTTCACTAGTTTATATCTGTTTATATGAAAAAAATTGCGATTGGCAAAATATTGCTTCCTCCGTCCATAGATTCTATGTGACATTCTTCAATCGTTTGTCAGACTTTTCGTTGTGATCTGCACGCTGCACGTTCTGCTCGTGACTTTCAGGAAGTTCTTCATTACCGTCGTCTCTTTTTTTGATTTCTTTCGGCTCGTCCTCAGTACCAACTGCCTGCCTAATGTTCGAAATTCCTGCGCCTGTAAGGAATATCATCTCAAATATCTGTGCCTCACGCATGCAGCGGTAACATGAAACTGAACCGGTGATTCAAAGCTTGTAGGTATAGCAAATGGGACGTTAATGAACGGTAGTATACACTGTAGGAAAGAAAAAAAAAACTATTCGAGCACAAGAATCAGAAAAAAAATCAGGCTAAGTGTGGGGTTCATAATGGCCAGAGTGGCTCAAACTTTCTGATTTATGAGATGCCACAAACACCCCCACCCCCGAAGGATTTGATCCCTTTTTCGTTTTATATTGGACAGTTGGTACAAAACACACACAAATATTGCCGCCAAGCCTTCCCATGCAAGCTCTTATAATGTCCACTCTGATAGACATGATTCGAGGCACGAGTCGGGGGTCAGGTTGCTGTGCTATTATTCCGAAAAATTAGACAAGAAGTGCGATGAATAATGTAAGTTCCAAGTTCGATGAAAGGTCAGGAATGAAACACATCTACGTGCTGCAGCCTGTCCGCATCTGACCTTGTCGTCGCTACTCCCCATCAAGTATAGTTGGCGTGCTCCCATGCAACTCACTACTGCCAGCTAGCATAACACCTTACACCTGATTTGCCCACGATGACTGCAACGAAATTGAAGACGTTTGCATTCAGCCGCTCCTCATCGTTCCCTATCCTTTGTTATCAGTTTATATCGCTCACCATCGGTGTCCCCCTCCCACCCCCCCCCCCCTAAGGAGCTATCGAATTGCTGTCACGCGAAGACTACAACAAAATTAGTGTACTCTGACTCTGACTTCGTTATCAGCTGCCTGTCGACGTTAGACGCTTTCGAATGCCTTTGTTCGTCCAATCTTGCTGAGCCATTCGTAAGTATCTACTACTACACGCAGCCTGGCGCTCAAACGAACAAAAACAGTAAAGTAGTCGCGAACAGTCCAGGGATTGGAACTTATCTTCGTGTACTACAAAAATTAGAAGGCATGTTCGTCCTTGGCACTGTTTTGAGGTCTTTCTGAATCCCTCTTATTACTACTAGAGTAAACGAATGCTCACCATGTGCGGAACAGTTCGTCCGGTCTGCATTTTCGCAGATGAAGCGCATGGTTGAACATTGAAAGCGGTTGCCCTTCTACGCATACGTCGTTAGTTTTGGGAGAACCGGTACTGCCCTTTTTCAATAAGCTTCCGCCTTTCTGTTTTTATAGGACTGTAGAAAATTCGTAAACCTCCTTTCTCTGTGACAAAGACGTTGAGATACAGGAGCGGTACCATTCACCAAATTCGAAATAACATCCAGGGCACTGCTAGCAGACACATCGCTATTTCCACGGAGAACGTTTTCCTCCGGTCAATTTGAGTCTTTGTTTCTCATCTATACAGTAGCAGGCCACAGCGTAAGTTTTCGTATTTGAACTTGTTTTGTTGTCAAACTGCTGTTTTGCCGCAAGTTCTATTTCTGTGAATGTTTCAGCCAGAATCCTGGGAGTTTTATTGTCTCGCTGACTCCACAACTCTTACCAATCCGCAGGCGGAACTAGAACCACCACCCTCCCGCTTTTTTTTCGGTCTGTAATTACATTTATATTTATTAACTGCACGTGCTCACCTTCAACATTACACGTTCAAGCGTGTTTGCTATCAGAAAG